CTCCTCACTATGTTTGGCTCTCATGAACTGGGAGCTGAACTGGAATTGCTTGCATTGCCACATGTCTTATTTAATTGTGCAAATTGCTTTCTATTCCAAGGAGAAGTGAATATGGAAATGGAAAGGATTAGAACTGTTGGGGTAAGCAATCGCTCTTTTCATTTTTTGGGGTTAGTATAACAATAGTGATTATTTAAAAAGCAGTCCCTGGCTCTGCTCTCACCCTGTCGGGCAAAGTACTTGCGTAGGGCCCGAGTCTCCCCTGCCCTCTCCCTTGGGCTAGATCCAAAAAACAGGAATCATCCATAAATCAGCTCAATGGGCTCTGGGTTGAGGCTTCTTGCGCAAGCAAAAATAAATGGCACAGGTGGGAAGATGCCATCAGGAAGGGATATCCCTGTCACAGCATCAGGTCTCCTTTTCAAGTCCCCCATAACAAAGAAATAACAAAGAAGAAACCAAGTGGAAAAAAGTTATTGTACCCCTCCAGGTCTGTGTAAAGACAGTGTGAACACCACAGACTGCCTAGTAAAGCAGGCAGAGAAATGGACATTATTCCAGCAGCCTTTTAGCCACCTCTTAAGTGAATATTAACTGTTGAACCAGTGCATAGCTTCGCCTGCTACTGGAATTATCGATGTGTAGTTTGCGGGGTTTTAAAGCGTGTGTCTGCTCACAGGGGTTTTGTTTTTTCTGCAAATTAAAGAAAATGTTTTGTTACTTACACCCATCCAATTACTGCCATGTGTAGGTAGATGTTTTTCAGGTCGTTTGCATAGACTGAGAACTTGCCAAGCTAACCATTTTCCTTCCTGATTTTTGTTTAATATATTAACACAATAGCGGGGGGGAGCAAAGCCAGGTGGAAAAATATCACACCCTTTTTTGGTGTTGTGTGTGGCTGTAGGAAGCTGTCACTGCAAAATTGATTTTTTTTTTTTTTCCTTGTGAAAAGTGAGAGATTTTAACTTCTGCTCGATTAAACGGCAGTATGCTGCGCATCCAACGGGGGAATTTCTGTTGTGGCCGTCGTAACGGAGCAAGCTGGGTATCAACAGCATCAGGCGCATGGAGTACTGGCAGCACCTGTGTGCAGCTCCCATTAGTGTCAGTGGGGGTTTTATGGTGGGGGTTGAGAGCAGGGCAATGCCATTAGTGTTTAATTTTTTACAGGTGAATGTGCCCCATCTCTGAGGGTACTTACATGCAAGAAAGATGGGTGAAGATAACAGTTCACTGCTATCAAAGTCCAGGAGTGGCTTTACATGCAATGCATCCCCACTCGTTTGGGCTTGGTTTTACAGTAACTAGGCTGGCAAACATACTATACGTGACTGTTGTCCAAATAGCGTGCCGTAAGCGTCCGAGTGACTTCATACCTGGAAAAAAATCTGTTGGTTTTTGGAGGGGGTGATGTGGCTGACCTGCGTGCTGGATGGGAGAAGTACGCTTGGCAGTGTTGGGTTAATGATTGGTCTTAAGGGTCTTCTCCCACCTAAATAAAACTATGATTCCATGACACTGTGCCAGGTCTCTAACAGAAAGGAAGGTAGTTTTTTCTCTGGAAGATGGCAGATGGTGCAGAGCTCTGCCTTTGCACTGTAGCCTCACCTTCAGCCTTGCTCAAGCCCTGTTGAGCATCTCCCCATCCTCAGTGCATGTTCCTTTGAGCACCTGCTTCTCCTGAAAGTTAGTTATTTAAAGGGATCTAAGTGACTGTAAGGATGCAGAGAGGAGGGGAGCTGAGTGAAGGGCTGAGGTTAGTACTTTCTCCTTGGTCTGGTCTCCTTCTCACCTTTAAGTTATTTGTATGCATGGCTTCTCACACCGATTGGCGCTGAACGAGTCGGGATAATGTCACGGTTGCCCACAAAACCATGCCAGCATGAGAGCACAACCTTGCCAACACAAGGGCATTGATTAGTGCAGAGGAACTAGGGCAATCCAATTATAACCACAAATGCCATTGGCTTTCTCGAATTCTTACTCAAATAACTGCGGACTGTCTGCTGTATTAAGGTGGTCTGGACTATATCAAGAAAGGGTAATTCATCAGATTTGGGTAATTCTTAAATACTCTATTGCTTATTTACACATAGAGCACAAGGATAGTATTTTTCAGATAGGTAGAAGCTGGCCGACCCCCTTTTTCGGCCTTGATATTAGAGACTGTATTTTATATTTCTTTTTTTGGAAATTATTACAAAATATCCTAAAAGGAAACTACCCAGGAAAAATAGCCAAGAAGATTCCTATCATTACAATCTTGTTTGAGAATTGAATATTCCTTTGTTCCCTAATATTATGCTTCCTCTAACCTACTCAGTGAGTCAGATAAGGAAATGTGATATTTTTCACCGCCGTTACGAAATTTAACTAAAGCTACAAAGAGCATGAGGGCCGTAGCCTGGAGTCTTAGATGAGTAGTTCAGATCTGGCTTTATATTACATGCAGAAGCGAACAGTCTTTCATGGATGAATCACATTCAATTAGCTACTTCCTATGATGAACTGATTAAAAATTAAGTGGCATCAAATAAAACTGATTTTGCTCTTACATTTAAATAATGCTATAATTACATACTAATCAGATGGCAAATCTTAATTGTACATGTTCCATATGTTTTATTTGCCTGTTCTCCCTCTTCACTTTGTCGTCTTTGTGTCAGCATGGAGTATATTTTCAGGCTCCTTTTATGTTTGGCCTAATTGAATATCAAAAGCAGTATATGTGAAACTTCCTGAATTCTATTCTTTAGCCAGTGGCAGCTGTGCTATTAGATGACCTTTACCATTCCCGTAGCACAGAATAATAAAGGGAGGGGGGGAATTGAAGCCCAGCCATGTTATTGTTAGAGACAGAAATAAATCATATATAATTGCTTCGCTATGAAGGCCAAATCCTGCTGTCCTTCATGCCTGGGTTAGAAATACAGGATTTGGACCTTTGTTTCCTGCCGTTTCCTGGCCACCTTGGACGTGCCCAGAATCCTCACGCTGCCGCCGCGGTGACTCATTACCATCGCGGGGTTCACGTCGCGTCAAACTGAACGGCAGCCCGGGCTCCATCCCTCCTGCTCCGCCGCAGGAAAGCCGTTACGTGAACGTCCGCCTTTAAGTGCCGTTGCCTTCACTGAGACTACTTTAAAAATTAAGTAAAGCCTTAGATGTTGGATTACAAGGTGGGCTTCCACAGAGTCCCTCCGCTTTGGTTAGCTGTTTGGAACAAGCCTGCTCACTCTTGGTCGAAGCGTTAGTCGGTGTTTTGACATCACATGCACGTGCTATTCACTCTGTTCACTCCAGACTGCGCTTTATGGTTTTGTCTGCTTTTTTAAAATCCTAGATCATGAACACAGTCACAAAAAGAACAAGCGGAAACACTGGAGAAGACAGTGGGCAGAAAGCAGCATTTTATCTGACATGGAGATGTTGAAGCACAGCCTGGAAGCGAATTCGTTTTCTGTGGATAGCAACAGGACTGGGAACGTCGGTGAAAAGAAGAGCCACAGGAGAACAAAGCGGTTCCTCTCCTACCCTCGGTTTGTGGAAGTGATGGTGGTGGCTGACAGCAGGATGGTCGCCTACCACGGAGCTAATCTACAGCACTATGTCTTAACGTTAATGTCCATAGTGAGTATTCGGCTTGGGGGGGGTAGATTCACCCACGGATCATTTTCTAGGGGTCACAGGGCACCCTCTATCCTGCGTTCATACGCAGTACCATCAGTTTGCCGCTGCCAGGCATGGAAATAATGCTGGGATTAGAGTAAAGCTTGGTATAACTTGGCTGAGGAACACCAGTTGGAATCTTCTTCCTTCCCAGACCCATCACGTTTCCTAACCCTTCCCACACCTCTCCCTGCCAGCGGTCTGAACCCCAGACAGCGCGAGAAATATCCCTGGTCCCTTAGGCCACACGCTGTAGTTGTCTCTTTATTTAAACCCATGTGAAATAGCAGCTGAATTAAAAAGGTACTTCAGGGACTGATGCTAGCAGGTTCTGCAGTTGCCTGGCTTCCCTAGCTGTAGCAAGGAGAAGGAGCCTGTGGTCACCTTGATCCTGAGCTTAGTGCTCGGGTTGGCTTTCCAGGCTGAGGACAAGCCTTTTAGTAGCTGCTGGTACCGGGATGCAGTAGCTGTCCCCAGACAGGCAGCGCTGTAGACGCAGAGTGGCTGCAAGTGAGTATCCAGCATCGCTGTGTCACTGGAGGGATTTTCATCCCATTTGAGGGTAGAAGTGCAATGAATACGTGGCCTAAAACTGTCCGTGTCACGATGAGGTTCTTGAGAAAGTTGCTTTTGACAGTCTTGGCTGGTGGTCGTTGCATCTCAGAGCAGAATGACCCTGTAATTTCGTGAAATATGTGCCAAAGCAAAAAATAAATGTTGGAGTTTTGTGATACCAGCAGGTTTGGTTCATACTAAAATTGTGCCTCTGGCAGGTGGTCTCTCCAAGTGGCCTCGGAGCCCTGAGTGAGGCAGGAGAGCAGCTCAGGAGAAAGCCAGTCGCAAAATGGAAAATGTGTGTGTGTTGTCTTAATTGTTTGTTTCCTTGAATGTTAGCAGTAATTGTGAATATTTCTTTTTGAAACAGGTGGCTTCTATCTACAAAGACCCAAGCATTGGAAATTTAATTAATATTGTTATCGTGAAATTGGTTGTGATACATAACGAACAGGTAATGGAAGTGATTTCCTTCACCTTCTGTTTGACCATGGCATTCATTGTGATGAGCAGTTAAAATACCTGTTTTCTGTGTGTTGCTTATTAGGATGGTCCTGCAATATCTTACAATGCCCAGACAACGTTAAAAAACTTCTGCCAATGGCAGCAATCCCAGAACCACCCTGAAGGAAGTCACCTTCAGCATGATACAGCCGTGCTTGTTACCAGGTACAGTGAGCATTCTCAGGAAAGCTGTAAGCTACGGGAAATGCTGGGGGTTTGATGTGGGTGTAATGACATTTGCAATTGAGGGAGCAGTGTGACTGTCAGCAGGATTGGGATAATGAGTCCACCGTAGGCAGTAGATGACTTTGGGAGATTCAGACCCCGTGGTCTGGCCAGGGGTTCATGAGGTGAGAAACTCTGACTGTGGTAGGGAGTTGGTTCAGACTCTGACTGGATGATGTGGCAAACCAGCATAAGGTCTGGTGGAGGACCGAGAATTGCTTTTGGATGTTGTTACTGTGCTTGTACCTTAACTCACTGATGCATTGAAAATTAATGTGTCAGGTCTGTTCTGCTTTCAGACAGGATATTTGTAGAGCGCACGACAAATGTGATACTCTGGGTAAGGAAAACCTTTTCTCTGTCTTTTTAATAACTTTTTTTTGTAGTGACAGTGTTTGTTGCCTGTGTTGAACCATGGGCAGCGTTTCTTTTTCTATTGTAAACCTCTTTGTTCTCTCCTAGGTCTGGCAGAGCTGGGCACGGTCTGTGACCCATACAGGAGCTGTTCAATTAGTGAAGATAATGGACTGAGCACTGCTTTCACAATAGCACATGAACTTGGCCATGTGTATGTTTTATGTAAATACATTTACATTTAAATAGCCCAAGATTTATGCTAGCTACGGCTTGCCAGCCGATATCTGCTGAGCCTAATTATTTGAGAGGAGATAAATATACTTGGATAGAAGATGCACCATGAAGGAAGATTAGGCTAGGGTGTGACTCTGGGAGGCCGTGGGATGCTCTGGAGTCCATCTGAGAGTAGTAAAAACATCAGACTCTCGTTTTGGGGAGGGTGAGCGACAGACTACAGCAAGCCGCACCTAAGCAAGGGGGGAGAGCTGACAAAATGTCCCTTATTACTGCATCTTCCCACACCTACATGTGGACATCAGCAGAATCTTCCTCAGCAACTGTGACATCTCAGACAAGCCAGGCTTTTGGCTGGGAGATGCTGGGTGCCTGGGAGGGACCAGGGTGAGGGCTATGTCTCACCTGGCCTTCGGGACTGAAGTGTCCTCCAAGAGCAGGTCCTCAGTCTGCCACAGCTCACCCCACCACTGCACGTGGTTCTACTGAAGGCAACGCAGCAGCTCTGCGTGAAGGGAGGAATCTGGCAGGCGATGGGATGTACAAGTGAGCCCAACCCACCCACCAAACCATTTCACAAAGGAAAATCTCATGCTACTGGACATCTCCAGAAGAGATGCTGTCATTCAGGGTGCACATACTCCAATGGAAAATTCTTTTCACTGATTTTTGACTCTTTTGATAGTGGTAATGAGAAAAATTGTCTCGGTTCACATAGTCCTTTTCCCCCCAGCTACAACTCTTAGGCAGTGGGTTCAGTCCCAATCCACCTCACGCCTGGTTTGCAGTGGAGGTCTGTAGGTGTGGGATGGATGAGTACTTGGGAACAGATCTCTCATTGTTTTAAACTCCCTTTTTCTGCTCGGAGAGCTGGCTGAGACGGTCTATTTTTAACCACAGCAGTGTTTGTTTAAATGAGATTTCCTGACAGAAAGTCCCCGAAGGTTTGGCGTTCACTACACCTAAACTGTGGCTAATTCCTTCGCTAATGCTGCCCCAGAGCTGCCGGAGGGGTTAGAGGCGCTTCCGAGCAGGAAAGGCCTCTTTGCTCTTTTACAGGGAACAGAGTGAAAAGGTGGTTCATTGGAGGTAGTCTTAATGGGATCTAAACTCCCCAGCCTCCTAACGCAGGATCACACCGGGTCATTTCCCCTTCTCCACTTCAAACGGCAAAGCGCTTTAAGCCGTTCTGTCTCCGTTAGTGTATTTGCCGCATTCTTCAATATGTCATGTGCTGCAAACTTCGCGTGGGTTTCTGCTGATATTGATGCTTGATGGCATTTTGTAAACCTGCCACGTAAAGTAGAGAAGCCAAGTCTGTCCCCAGTGCAGCCCTATTTAGGCAACAGCACCAAAGGATCAGCCTGGCCGAAGGCATTCTGCGGCGTTAGATGTTTTGCTGCCAGCGTACACGAGGTTCTTGGGTACCGATGGTTGGTGGGCTCAAGTCATTCATCTCCTCCAGAAACTTGGCTCTTTGGCTCAATTCCAGAGAACTTGCCCTTTTTATGAGGGTGGGGCCAGGCTCCAGCCTGCCTGCAGGATGGCAACCATCAGCTGAAAGGGAAACTGCAGCTGGAATTGCATCTTACACCAGGCTCCCTCAAGGACTTGCCTGGCTAAATATATGCGGTTACGGCACCAAGAGCTTATTGGGGTGCTGCCTAGCACTTTGCACACGAGTGCTAGGAACCCAGCTTGAGCAATGCTTGTTGACCCTTATGAATATGTGCATATTAATAGTTTTATTCTCTAATATCTGTCAGTAGCATATCTAGGAATAATTCTTGGCTTTGCTTATATTCAGGTCACGCTGTTTCTTTTGCTATACTAAACACTTGACATTTACCACTTAGCTGTACTTCTCGCTGCTGTGTTTCTCTTAGATTTAACATGCCACACGACGACAATCATAAGTGCAAAGAAGATGGAGGTAAAAATCAACAGCACGTCATGGCACCAACACTGAACTTCTACACCAATCCCTGGATGTGGTCTAAATGCAGTAGGAAATACATCACTGAATTTTTGGAGTAAGGCCTTGCATGTGTTAGGCTGTTTTTACATGTGCATGGATCCTGTGGGGTTCACCAGTTCATCTGAAATCCTAGTGTGCAGCGTTTGGAGGCAAGCGGAGGGATTTGTGTGCGCGCGCGCATCCTTTACATGGAGCAGGACTGCAACAGTTCAGCCTCGTGATAAGCTGGCAAGGACCAGCCTCTCTATGGGGAGGAATAAGTCTTCCCCCATGGATGTTGCTGTTAAGGAATGTGCGTTCTCCTTGAACCTGAAGAGTGAGTTTTCCAAACCCTGTGGCCCAGACATGGAGCTGTGTTTGCGGAGGCAGATCGAATCTGCCTTTCTGCTCCACAGGCCAAGATAAAGCCTTGGCACTAGTCCACGGTGGAAACACTGTTCCAGGAGCCCACGGGTCAGTTTGATGCACAATGTTTTGCCGTGATGCCGTCCCACATGTGATGGGGAGCAGAATGAGACCCACGATGGTGTCCTGGCAAATCCAGGAGCTTGGTCCCTTGGGCAGTTCTCCTGCTAATCAATTATTTTCTTTCTAAATATATACCAGCACTTGCTGAGCAGCTAAATGCAGGTTGTGCATGCTCAGAAATGCTTTTGCCAGTACCTGACAGTTGTTAGCACAGCACGGGGGTGGTGGTGAAGGGGTGATCCTGTCTCCTACCCTCCTGTGCTTGAGTCTGTAGGAGCTGCTGTAGTGCGTGTTAAAAATGGCAAATGTGGTGCACGGCTGCCCTAAGGCTGGCTCAGGTAAACACCAATGGGTTCTAGTATCATCTCCTTCTGTTAACAGCGTTTTTCTGCTTTGGGTTGTAGCACTGGCTATGGGGAGTGTTTGCTTGATGAACCTTCATCAAGAACGTACGCGTTGCCTCAGCAGCTCCCAGGGCTGATTTATGATGTCAACAAACAATGTGAGTTAATTTTTGGACCTGGATCTCAAGTCTGTCCGTATATGGTAAGTGAAATTCCACACCTTGGTTTTCCTGGTGCTGCCAGAGCAAAATATGAGCTCCTGGGGTTGGATGAATGGGAGGCTTGCAAGCCACCAAATTATTGTCAAGCTTGTGAGTTAATGTTAAATCCTGCGGGGGATAATTTCATAATTTTCATCTGTCTGGGGAAGGCATGTGGCACATATTTACTTAATATTTTCATCTTTTCGATAACTTAAGCAGATGCAGTGTCGGCGACTTTGGTGCATTAACATCGATGGAGCGCACAAGGGATGTCGTACCCAACACACACCTTGGGCTGATGGGACAGAGTGTGAGCCTGGAAAGGTCTGTAATAGCTGGTGGTCCATGCCTCGTAGCTGTGTTTCCCAGGACTCAAGCTAAGGGTATCAGTCAAAATCATCCTGTCCCAATGGCCGGTTGCATGGGGCACAGCTGCTGCCTGCAAGGGTGGAAGCCCAAAGCGTGTTTCAAGCCCGGTATGCATGATTCAACCCTACCCCAGATAATGTGATTAAAATCGATTGCTTGGCCTAACATTGCTTAAAGCAGGTATTCCTTCTGGAGTGCTTATCTTTTTAAACAAATACCCTTGAGTGAACTTGTGACCAAAACTCTCGCAAAGCTTGTCTAGGCTTTTATTGGAAATTTCCTGTGTGATGTGAGCAATTAGTAATTTTGTGTAACATAAACTTGCCAACTGGCTTTTCTTCTTGACAACTTCACAGCAAAATATAGAACTGGTTGACATTTTCTGTATGGAACAGTTTTGGCAGTAATTCATAGAAACTTTCAATTTCCATGTGCAGTGTTAGTTTCCAGCTAGCATTGTGATTTTTGGAATAAGTATTTAGTTCTCCAGATCTGGAGAAAAAAAAGTTGAGAGGATTTTTCTTTTATTGAGATACTGAAGCTTTTGATGAAAAAGGCTAACTAATTTTCATCATTTGTGTCTGAACAAAAATATACTCCATCTGAGTCTAGTTAAAAAAGTATGATGTTACTTTATGAGGTATAACTTAAAAATTTGCTTTTCTGGCTAGTAATGATCAACAGTTAAACTTCTCTAAAGAGTCAACATTTTAATTCATGGTCTTTTGAATGTATTATAATGAAAATATCTGGATGCTATTTGAGCTATAATTTTCCATACAGGCTGTGGATTTCCTTGGTAATTAACCTTCTGCTGCATGTTTCTGAAAAGTCAGTTGTTCAGTGACACTTGACCGATTTCCTTCAAGACAATGGGCATAATGAATCAATTTGCCTTCCTTTCTTAGGGGAAAGTGCAGTCAACATTTGGTTTATTGCTGAGAATGTGTGTTAGAGATGTGGTTGGAAATCCTATTCTTGTGCTACTTGGAGCCAGTGGTGCACCAATATTTAATTTTTTAGCATAACATCCATTCTTTTTTGAGACTTCCTATAAAGCTTAGGCACCTGTGGTATCCCTGTGACTTGAGACCTTATGTCTTCAACTTCTCGGTTGGTGAGCTTGGGGTCTGCTTACCACTGGAAGCTCAGAAATAACGGTTTTCTTGATATTCCAAAAATCTGGGCTGCAGTTTTTTTCAGGCGAACCTGCCGTTACCCTTGGATATGACCACAGCGATGCTCAAACAACTGCGATTGGGCAGATTGACACCTCCTTAGAGTTACCCCATGTCAGCCAAGAAGCAGCGTCCAGCTGCACGGCTCTTAATGAAGACCGTGTAAGCACAAACATTTCAGTCCGCAAATTTAGACATTTTGACAAGTTTAGACAAATTAGGAGTGACCAGAACTTCTCAGCTGAGAGCAGATGGGCTCTTAAGAAAAGCTAATGCAGGCCACTTGGGTTGAATGGATTCTCACATAAAGGCTTTACTGAGTGATTCTTCTATCTCTGTGTTGGCCTAATTCAAGCTTAAGGTTTGGATTCATCATAAACTTTCTCCTCCTCAGTGTTTACTTGGGATTGTAAAGTGCCGAGGTGAGTGTCTGAGTGTTTTTCGTTGGAATAAATCACTATTTTGGTACTCTCTTGTGGCCAGGAGCCCCATCAGACTGCTGCTTGCTGACTAATGCCTTGCCTCAAGTCTGCATGTTTAAAGCCCGTGATATATGGGTTGGCAGATGGAGAAAATACCATGCCGGTTTTTATGGAGATATCTTTGGAAATAAGGGAGCCTGAATAGCTAAGAAAAATGTAGCTGAAACTACTGGGATGTGGATTTAACCGGGTTCTGAATTTATTCTCGAATCAAGAACATTGAAACAAGAAGGGAGTATTAGCTTATGCATATTTTGCATGTGAGGACACTGAATTTGATATCGCTAAATCAAGTCATAAACCCAGCCCAGAGTTTGGCCTTTGCCGGGTGAGCACCAGTGGCGAGGGTTTGCAGTGTCTCACAGCACCAGCGCATTGTCAGGGGGAGATAAATCACTGAAAGAAAATAAAGAGGGTCGTAAACTTGGGCCTGTATCTCTTGTGGTTTTCAGGGTTGTTTAAAGAATGATGAAAGAGGAGTAGACGAATAGTAATCATTTCTGTCTCCTGCCGTATGGCAGCAGGTAGCGTATACGTTATGCATGCATGAAGCTTCACAGCACTTGTCTGCCCCCTGCTAATCCATTCAGCCAAAGTCAGCCCAAGGATGGGAGTCGGATTTGGTGAATTATCTGGAACTCCAGTGGCAAGACAAAGGAGAGGGAAGTCTGTTGTAGTGTCTCCCGTCCCTGCCATTGCTCTCCTGCTCAACTGTGTGTCTAAGTTGTTTTGTATTTGCTCCAGACAAAAACTCCTTTATTCTCCCCGTTCTCAGATCTGTAAGCTCATCGGAAAGAGAACCCTGGCAGGCTTTTTAGTTTTTCTGTTGTAACTCAACATAGAAATTATTTTTAAAATACAAAAGGCACGAAGGTTGCACAGCCAGACTATTCACAATGTGGTTCCAAGAAACACCACTGCGTTTCCATAAGATAATCTTGTTTATTTAAAACAGCTGCTCTTCCCTCCACCCTCCCCTTTGATTTACCATCACCTCCAAAGCTCCAGTTTTTAATAAAATTAAGGGATGTAAGTGATTTCCTGGTTAATTCTCAACCCTCGGCTGGGAGACATATAGGTCATGTCACGGTCTGTTAGCTGTGTACATTCACTAGTTAGCTATTCAGTCGTCTTCTCTGGGTCAGTGGTGCCAAGCATGACTGGGGTTATATATTTAGCTGTGAGCATCAACACTGCTGTGAAGTTCTCCACCGCTGGATTGGTGTGGTGTGTTTCTGTACGTTGGTGAGCTGTCGCACCTCTTTGTCCCTGCACAGGACTGGCGTAGGGGTCCCCTGTCTTGCAGGCTTTCAACCCTCTAGATGCCAGGAGGGGTTGTGCATCATAACGGTTTATCCTGAAGCAAAGAAACAGGCATTTCAGCTTATTTTATTCCTGTCCTTTACTGTAACAGATATTTTTTTTCAACCAGTTTCTATCTGGGGAATCAAATCTTCAGGTGAAAGCAAGGCACATTGCAGCTCAGAGAGCATACCATGCTCATCTCTGAGCAAGCACCACATCTTTATTCATCAGCAAAGGGGTGCGACAAGCTGGCCATCGTGGGGAGGTGGTGTTAATCGTGCTGCGGAGCCACTGTCCTGGGAGCTGGATGCACAGCCCCCGCGATAGCTTGATTTTGCTCTGTTTTCCTAGATAGCTTGCTCTAAGGTGGTTCGTAAGGATGTCTAAAAAGAGGATGAGCTCATGGTGTGTATTGGTACAGTCTTGTTCAGCTATTAGTGAAAGGGCTGGAAAAACACAGCACATGGGTAAATTGAACCCCGTTTCCATAAAGAAACTCAGGTGTTTGCCTGCCTGAACAGCATCTGGCGCAGAGAAATACTGCGAGGGAATATTTTAATGATGCACTACGTGTTTTCTTCCTTAAGTCTGTAACCTCTTCTAATCTGTGAGCAATCAGCAATGTTTGGGCTTCCTATAATTGCAAAGATTTAAGCATCTGCCTAAACGAGCACGTCTCTGGGTTTAAACCTGCCCTAGCAAGCAGCGTTCAGTGAAAGGGAAGCCGCGCTCTCACCGTGTGTGGGGGCACCTTTCCATCTGCTCTGGTGGGGCCAGAAGATGACTCTCCCCAAGGTCTCCGCTCTCCAGAAGGCTGTGTTGTCTAACTAGCACACATACCCTGAAGGGACACGATTTATACCATAAAAATGGAGGATGGGGGCTAGCCAAGAGAATTCAAACCAGTTTTCCAAACAAAAGAAAACAAGAGTTATAACTGGAAAACAAAAGTGTTGGCCAGGCCTTGGCATGTCCCATGTTATGGCTGAGTGAAAAAAAAAATGCTTTGGCGTGAGGAATTCATTTTTCTACTTCATTTGCCATTTAGATTTGGACGTTTCCTTTTCCTCTTCTGTTCTGGGGCTTTGTACAGCTGTGGGGAAGGTTTGAGTTTTCCCTGTCTCCTCCCCTGACACGATGCGGTTCCTGCTGCTCTCCAGGAAATCAGATAAGCAGCTTTTTGAAAAGCCAGCGCCGCGAGCGTTGCCGTGCTGTTCGGCACCAGTAAACAGGGAATATTTTGTGGTTGCTGTTATCCTCAGTCGTCTTCCCATAAATCACTCCCGTGAACTCAGCAGCTTGCCTTCGCTTCTTCGTGTTAAGGGTGCAGAGAGAAAAAAACACACGGGTGATGGGCAAAAAGTAAAGCCATTAAATTTCATTTGATTGCAAAACCTTTGCTGCATTTTCTGAGCAGTTGAGAAATAAGTGACCCTGAGCCTTGGTGTCCAGGCTGGTCACTGTTGATCAGCTCACGATGCAGAAGCAATGCCAACTCACCTTTCCCGTCTCTCTCCTTCTAGCACTGCCGGTTTGGGATGTGCGTGCCCAAGGAACGGGAGGCGCCGGTGATAGACGGAGCGTGGGGGACGTGGAGCCCTTTTGGGACCTGCTCGAGAACCTGTGGCGGTGGCATAAAGACGGCAATACGAGAGTGCAACAGGCCCGAGTAAGTGCACGGAGAGGAAGCGCCGGTGGGTGAAACAGGGAGAAGCAGCTGGGTCACTCAAAGGGGCTGAAATCCCCAGCCTGTGTGCACCCCAGGGACTGGTGGCTTTGCCCTGGGGATGGGTGGCTTTGCCTGGTGTGGATGAGGCATCACAGCAACCCAGGAGGAAGTGGTTGCAGGTTTGGTTTGTGCGTAAAGTGCACTAAAAGGGGATCCACTGAATGGAGAGAGAAGGAAAAATCTGTAATATCTGTGTCAGTTTACTGCTTCCTGTTTTCCTGGGGAGGCACAGCTGGGGTCCCACTTCCAGAGGTGTTTTTCTTCCTCCAAAGCTGTGGATCAGAAAGGAGGTAGAGGGGAAGGAGCCATGTTTTTATCCAATTTTCACCATTTTTGCCCCTGTTCTGGCTGCTTTTGCAGCTATTCCTACAGACCAGATCCTTTATACAGTTTTCTACTGTTTTGCCTCCTGCTTTGGCTGGTTTTGCAGCTCTTGGCTGCTTTTGCAGCTGATCCTTTATGCAGTTACATGTCAGCTGGCACAGACTAGCCGAATCTCAGCAGAAATCTGCGCCCCATTAAAAAGCGACACTCAAAAATGTTTGCTGTCAGCCTGGAATGCAAAATCCTGCACCCTTTGAAATGTCAGGGAATTTTGCTGTGGGCTTCAAGGAGACAAATGTGCGACTGGCAAAATGTTAGTAATGGGTTGAGCAACTGGTATGAAAACAGCCTGTTTACATAAATTGTGAACTGTGCCATTTTCTGTTTAACTGCCTCTTTTCAGCCCATGAGAGCGAGAAGGGGGTGGGCAGGATGCTTTCCAGGCTCTCATTTGTGACTGAGACACGGAGAGGAGAGGTGTCTGCGGCGCTCATTGGACTGCGGGGTTTTAAAAAGATGGAGCAGGCTCGTTCCACTTTCTCATTATTGGTGTTGGATGGCGTATTGCCAAGGAAATTGCCATTAGTGACGTGCCAATGACAGTTTCATCGCTGCTGATGGGAAAAGGGAGAGGTTGTATCTGCGGCACTGGTGGTGAAGTGACAGGAGAGGCTGGCTCAGCGCAGCTGGGCAAGTGTTCAAAGGGTTGAGACTAAGGGAGTGGGACACCAGCACGTTAATTAAAACGATGCTGAGAAGCATACAAGCACAAAGGCGTTCTCGTCTCGCTGTGCTGAGTCAGCACATGCCATATGGTCCTCAGTAGCCATGGAGACACAAAAATAATATACCTTTCCACATGCAAAAATAGCTATGCTGCTGCACCTTTGGATGCTGTCAGTGCTGTGTTCCCATCTTCTGGAGAGGCATCTGTTTGGACTGATAGCTCTTTGTGATAGAAAAATCTCCTTTATCCTGAAGACTAGCCAAGGGATTTTAAATTCCATCTCCTCTTATGGCTTATGTTTTGTATCTTGGTGTTTCGTGAGGCGTATTCTTTGGCTGGGATTTGCAGAAGCACCTAAATATGCTAGGCATCGAGCTGCCTGGGAAATCCCTTGCGCTTATCATTAATAGTGGTTATTTTCCAAGCCCGCTTCAGAGAGCTGTGTAGCTACACTGGCCTCTCCTCCAACCCCTCGCGAAGTCTCCGTGAGGAATCATCTGTCCTAGCGCTGTCCGTAAGGCTTTACACAGAGACTGTGGTTTTGTCCCCATAATTTGACATCGTGGCGTGGGCTCCCACCGTCTGTGTCCCTGTTATCGTGGGGCTGCTGAGACGATGCATGTGGATGAGACACTGCTCGATACTCTCCCACCCCCCTCGCTTTTCAAAGTACTTAAAAACTATGCAGATTAGGTGTAGTCTCTGTTTCTTTTCTGTTGTAGAAGGCAGAAAAACCAACCCAGATACCTGGAGTAATGTCTGAAATTGTTTCCATAAAGTCTTATATTCAAAGATGATTTAGCTTATTTAAGATTTTCTTTTGTGCATGAAGATCTGGGATGGTATCTCGCATGCCAACGAAACATCGTGTTAGATGTGGCACAGAAAATGACCGTCCCCCCCACCCCGGTACAGTAGATAAGGCTGCAGCTCCTGCCTCTGTGATGTGCTCTGACACCTTCGTTGACGAGTATCGTGCAGGGGTGTAGGAAGCTGTAACCCTCTGAAATGGCAGCAGAGTGTGTTTTGACATCCACTGAAGGGAATGTATTAGCTAACCAGATCAGACCCTTCCCACCAGGATTGCCCACTCGGGAATTTGAGGCTGGCTGGTACAGACAAAGCCCACAACTGCGGCCTGTCCCGTAGAGGCCTGTGGTGCGAGCCCTGGTTGTCAAGGCGTAGCTGCAGAATTATGGGGAAAAGGCCTATTTCATAAGATGTCGATACCAGCAGCCCTGGTTTTGGGAATGGCTTTCTGGATGCCAAGCGTTATCTCTGGATGCGAGTTGGATCACGTCTGCGTTTTAGCCCATCACAACAGTATCCACCTGCGCTGAAAGCTGCCTGAGCTTGGCACGTAAACACATCTATAGATAACTCTGCGGGGCACTGGCTTGTAAGGGGAATGATGTTGGACTGAAAGCAGGTCCATGCTGTCTGTTGGTTGATGCCCTATCCCTGGAAGTGTCCAAGGCCGAGCTGGATGAGGCCTGGAGCAACCTGGTCTAGTGGAAGGGGTCCCTGCCCATGGCAGGGGGGGGGGGCGGGGGGGGGG